TCAGCGAGTCTCATCCAAAGATCCTCGAATCTGTCAAGGATCTTCTTCTACTTGTCGGTGAACACTACGAACACTCCAAGTCTTCGACGACCGATATCCAGGACAAGATTGTCGAGCACAAGTCTCCCGAAGAGCTTATGACCCTCCTAACACTTCTCACTGATGACAAATTTAATAACACACATGTTCATGAGAAGTTGGATAAGCTTATCGAACAAATCTACAACGACTCGGAAGTCAAGGAACGCCTCGACAAAATCATCGAGGAAAAGTACAACGACACAGAGGTTCGCGAGAAGCTAGACAAGATCATCGATGAGAAGTACGACGATTCTCAAGTGCATCAGAAGCTCGCTACCATCATCGAGTCCAAGTATGATGATTCAGAGATTCGGGAAAAGCTTGAGAAAATTATCGAATCTAAGTATGACGACGCCGAGGTGCGGGCTAAGCTTGACAAGATCATCGAAGAAAAATACGACGATGCACCAATCAAGGAAATCCTTGGCATGCTTGTTGAGCAGAAGTACGACGATACGCCCGTCCGTGAGAAGCTTGATCTGATCATGGACTCCAAGTACGATGATACTTTGGTCCGCGAGAAGCTCGATCTGGTTCTGGATGGCCGATATGACGACGCTGTCGTGCAAGAGAAGCTCGACAAATTGGTCGACCACAGCGCCGTTGCCGATCATGCCTTTAGTCGCCTTGATACGTTGGACAAGGTTCATGCCTCAGTAGTCCAGACAGCTGCTGATATTTCTGAGTTCCTCTCAGCGCAGAAGCAGCGAATTGAGCAGGCTCACGAAGACCATACCAAGACTCTCCAAGAGACCATGGCATCTGTGGAACGCAAGCTCGCGGAGAAGGATCACGTTGAGGCAGCAGTTGCAAGTCTCCGAGATGAGGAGGAGAGGCTTCGACAGAGTGTTATGACGTTGAGAACGGAACAGGAGAGTCTGATACGACAGAAGACACGTTTAACTGGTGATGTCTCTTCCCTTGAGACGGCTCTTCATATGCGCAAAGAGGAGCTCTACGACATGGAGTCTCGTGCAGAAAACCTGGAGCGCCGGATCCTCGAGGGTGTCATGGACCATTCTCGAGTCCTTCTCATGGCAAAGGCCAATAGGAACGGTGGCGATGCTATGAGCCGCAAACGTGTTAGAAAGCCTGCCAACGAGGAGGAGTCTCCGGAAGCAGGTGCACATGGCCGCAAGTCTATGGTGGGCATGGCACTGAATGCTAAACGCAATTTGGCTGCTCCAGTACAGAACGGAGTAGGTCGCAGAATCGTTTCGCTCAGCCAGATCAACAACAATGTAGCTTCTGGAGGTGTCAAGCGCAGCCAGAGCGTACGAACCCCCTTGGGCGGCGGTAAAACATACCGCAAGCGAAGCTGGGGTGGTAATCTCGACAAAGGCCTCGCTGACAATGACAAAGAGAACACTGTCAATGAGACTGTCGAGGAGGTTGATGAGGCAGATGTCAAGTCAGCAACAGCGCCAGAGGCGACAGAAGCCTCCACAGACGAGACAATAGTCATTGAATCGACACCCAATGATGAGGAAGCGGACGGTGGCGAGGGCAGCGACAGCGACAACGAAACCTTGAGAAGAAGCAGTCGAGGTACCGTAGTCACGAACAGCACAGATATGTATACGGATGGTGACGAGTATAGTGAGTACAGTTATACCGAAAGCGAGTGGACAGAGAGCAATGTTGGGACTGATGCAGGATCAGTGCAAGGCAACGAGGTAGTGGTCTATGGGAATTAACGCGGAGGAGTAATGACGACAAGCTTGATTTAGCTGGCATACCATTCATGTTCATTTCGAGATGGAAACGAGACAGAGGAGACTTGGGTTTGGGTGTGATGTTTATTTGTTAAAGGCATTGATTGTATGACGAAGCGAGCGTTCAGGATTGGCATGGGCTTTGATCAGATTGGAGACTTTCCCTCCCCCCCCCCCCCCCCCCCTTTTTCTTAGTATTCGTAATCTGCTTAGATCGGCTTTGATGAGAATAATGTTTTCTTGATAACTTTAGTAACAAACGAATGTACGAATCAATAACTTTACTGAGACTGTGCTCATGGATATGATATTGAGAGGATTCAACATCCGGGGGGCACAGTCCAAATGCAATGGCGGCTCAAGGTCATATCAAATCCATCCTGAGTAGAAAACCAAAAAGAAAACGAAAAGAAAAAGAAAAAGAAAAAGAAAGAGAAAAAGGACGGGGATGCATACAAGTAGACGCTGCTGATTTGGCGCGTGTAACGAGTTGGACTCCGAGTGGTCTAGGTGAGCTGAGCAAACCGAGGTCCCCTTCATTGACTGCTGAAGTATCTTATCTTATCAGCGATTGTATCGAACGAGCCCCTCCAGCAACCGCCGCGTCTAGCTACGTAGGATAAACATATAATTTGTGGACCAAGATTCAACAACGAACATAATTCTTCACGACTTGTCTTCCCGCACCGTCAATCAATTACAACAATCGCCATGGATCAAACCCAAGCAGGGGGGCTCCTTGACCCTCCTGAGCTCACACCACTCGAGCAAGAGGTTTTAGACGAGTACGAACGCTTGGCCGATAACATGAACAAAGTGCGTCTGCCTCATTGCGCTGGGATCAGAAAGACACAGACTGATATCATTCCCAGCTCGCCACTGTCCTCGAACATCTTGCTTCGAACCCTAGTACAGAAATTCTTGACGGCCTTCGTGAGCTCGAGCGCAAGACGAGTCTGGCCTTTACTCTTCTCAAAGCCAGTGTTTACAGCATAGTCTTGCAGCAGGAGATTGACTGGGGGGATGGATCGACAGCGCAATGAGTTTAAATGAATCAAAGAAGAACGAGAAGGTAGCTTTGTGGTGGAAGAGACAAGGATTGATACCCAACCAAATATGATGCGCGAAACGATACTTTCTTTCACATGGATTTGATATCAAGTGATGACACATCAACTATACCATTTTTACCATACCGAGGACGTCAAAGAAATCTTCTCTATTACAGGCTACAGATACACGATTTTTTCTTTGGTGATACAGGTGGTTTGCGTGAGAGTGGGTTTAATATACAGCTCCTCCATAGTACACCTTGCGCACGTCCACCAGCTTCTTACCCCGGCCGATGGCGATCTGCTCGGGGTCGGGCTGGTTGGTCAACGCTTGATACGCTGCCTTGACGGAGTTCATGGGGTTCTTGGATCGGGGCATGCGAGCAGCGATATCGTGGATACCGGCGGCGCGGCACATCTCGAAGATGCGGTGAGGGCAGCGGAGTCCGAAGCCTGGGAGGGAGGAGGTTAGCTAGCAGGATCGCGTGGTTGCCGGTGATGAGTGGATGCGTACCGGGAGGACGGGCCATCAGCTCGACTACAGTGCCTGAAATCTTGGCAGACACATTACCATAGATAGTACGGTTCTCATATCGTCGGACAGGTTTCATGTTGCGGATAGCCAACATCTGAGCTGTCTCCTCAGCCACACCGGCCTCAGTAGACTTTGCCATTCCAAGTCCTAGACGGCCATTGCCGTTACCAGCAATGGCAACCACAGACGTACTGCGGACCTTGCCCAGACGAGTTTGATTGGAGACCCAACGAGTCACAAGACCTTTGGTCAGCAGCGAGCGAATGTCCTTGAGACTCATGCCTGTCAGGCGCTTGATCTCTTGGTACTTGCCCGAGTCATCCTGGCCCTGATCCTCGGGGTCAACGGCGTGCTTGTACAAGCCTTTGACACCGGGGACCTTACCAAGATCAGGTGCCTCAGCCGTGTAGGTCCGATCGACTCCCGCGGGGCCATCCTGAATGAGCTCAAGGTTCGAGGGCTCGACCTCACCCTGACTGCCGAAACCAACAATCTTGTCGAGCTCGGCCTCCCATGCCTCGTCAACAGCCTCATCCAACTTCTCAGCCTGGGAGCGAGTCATGAACTCGGGACCCTTATCGTTTGCAGTGGGCTCAGGGCCGTCCTCGGCGATGATGTAGCGCTTGATCAGCTCAGGGTCCTTTTCAATGTCCTTGAGCTCATCCTCAGTGAGATCTATCAAGTCCTCTCCCTGGCTCTCCTTCACACGCCGCAGTGCTCGAACCATGGCTCGGGTAAGTTGGTCGCTCGTCTTCTTGTCAGTGATCTTCATCATTTTTTGACCGTAATTGTCGATCCATTCGCTCTTGTCAGGCCATTGCACCTCTCTCGGGGTGCCTTCGATCTCCGGCTTGATATCGTAGCGGGGGTCCAGCACGGCATAATCCTCGATGTAGGTTGGCTTGTAGGGATCGTCACGTAACCGACCCTGAATGATCATATCTTCAGGGTTGATGGCTTTCTCGCCCAACTCAATAGCCTCAAGCTGCTCTGGTGTGTAAGAGGCTTTGAGGCTCTCCAGATCCTGCTTGGACATGTCGGCAAACTTGTCCTGCTTGTACTTGTCCATGCCCGCCGTAAATTCACCCGACTCCTTGATCAGACCTAGCTCCTGGGCCGTGACATTTCGAAACCGAGACTTTCGCTTCGACCTGGGTGGTGTGCTGTGGAATTGACTACATGGTACGAGAGGGACGGTGACTGAAGCGGTTCGAGATGAGGCGATGCACCTGCCGAGGAGGTTGCGCGCCGGACGTGCGACGCTCATGGTCGACAGGAGGCTGAGGAGTATTAATTCGACGAGGGCCAGCGGCAAGGGAAGAGGAAGAGGAGGCGGAGGTCGGATTTATTAGCGTTGCTCTCTCTCGCTCTCTCGCTCTCTCTCTCTCTCTCTCGTATCTCTCACACGAGCTAGAGATTTTTTGGGACCCAAGAAATGGATGGTTCTCAATTGACGTGGTCCCCATGCGGTTAGCGGTTGATGGACAGCAAAAGCCAATCAAATCGGGACTCTCATCAACTACCATGGAAGACAGAGCCGACCCTGGAACTTCCATTCTCCGTCCATAATCACGTGCTCCAGAGCATGCTTGTCTAAATCAACCTCATCCATTGTCGGAACGTTCCTTGAAGCCACCGAATGGTCTCAACCACCTCAATACTCCTCACTTAACATCAGTGACGCCATTATGAAGCCTAATGAGTGTGATTGAACGGTTTCTCTTTTCATTTAGGTACTAGCCGCTTGCTTTATCGTACTCTTACTATTGTATCGTCAGCCATAGCCAATCATGAGCCACCTTCACATCAGTCGACTTTTGTTACAAGGTGAAACGTCTCAGTAACACCCCTGGGAGCCAAGCGACTGTTAGGGGTCTTCCACCGTTGTCACCACTCACTGTGGGCCATTTACCAGATTTGCTTCGCCTCCCGTCTGTCACTTTGACTCTTTTTCTCTTCTCATAGCTATCTCGATCTCTATACGTCTTTATTCTATTCCATTCAAAGAACATATTATCTTCCATTCCCACTCTGTACGTGACTGGCGCACTGTACGGCTTAATTAAAACTGAAAAAATCCGGCATTCCTTTATCAAAAATACTCATCCTAATACTACGACAACGACAACGACAAAGACAACTTCATCCTCACCATACATACCTTGTCCTTCACGATGGGTCAATTCGACTGGTTCTCCTCTATCGGCGCTACAGACGAAGCTGTTGCTGTCCTCAACGACCAACCCATTATTTTCACCATCCTCTTGGTGGTCCTTGTGGCTGTCATTCTACAAATCGTGCTTCTCTGGTACATTCACTATGCAACCATGAAGCCCGAGCAGCGCAAAGCAAAACAGGACAAGAAGGATAAGAAGAAAGCGGGGAAGACAGCAAAGCCAAGCAAATAAGCACTATCTATTCCTTCAGCAATTATCCACGGCAATCTTTGTCCTGGCCCATGACACTCATTTGCAATATTATCGACTTAACATTCAACATTACATCTGCCTCACGATTTCTATAGAACAGGCTCAAACGTCACGCTACGCTTGCCTCTCCCATATGCTATCTATAATATATCAATCTTTCTTGGAGCATCGCCAAATCCCGCCGTTCTGGTCAAATCTCTTTTCAGTTTCCGACTGACACGTTTCCATCGTCAGATGTTAGTCTAAGTTACACTGATTGTCGCAGATCAGCCAGTGGTCCAGACTTGGGAAGTTTGCTGGGTCGACTATTGTATCTTGTCTTGTCGCGAAGTCAATATCCTGCCTCATCCAAGCTTGCCCAGGTGGCATCTCATTCATAAATTCCATTGTGTCAAAACCAGCTCCAAGCCGACCAGTTTCACCAGGCCATGGCTCTGGCCAACCCATGGAGGTTGGGCTATTTGTAGCATCACTCCATAGATCCTGGTGCGTTTCGACAACTTGGAGACTTAAATCCGTTATTGCTTCGTGATGCTCCTCATCCTTCGCAATATCGAGGTGACCATCCATGATGTCCCAGCTTACATCCATCATTGTAGTCCTCTGACTTTGTCGATGCACGCATTCGCCTGATTCTGGTGCCTTTTCATCCGTCGCTCCAATTGACTGCTGTATTCCAGGAACAACTAACCCTTGGCCCGAAATGCGAGAATTTCGGGTCGGGAACATGATTCTTTTTGGCGTTCTCCTATTTGTTGACGGAGGCATATTGACATGTAGAAGAAGTACCTCCCAGGCCTTTCTCTCCAGTATGTCCACAGAGCCTTTTTTTGCAATATGCGGGCGAGAATAAGCCTCGTAGCCTGATGCTAGATCAGTCACTTGCTGTCTGAGCACCGGGGATTCGGCATGCTGCATACTTGCTAAGGATGTGGCAATGATGGGTAGTAGTTCGGCGCGGTCCGATATGCTCTGCTTCTTTTATCAGCGACTGAAATACATAATTGCTGAGAGCCATACCTTGAGATAAGGCATATGAAATACTCCCGGCGCAAGCTTGGTGAGGCAGTAACTGAGTCCGCAGCCCCAGACTTGGTAGCCCCTGTACGTTCTCTCTGGCGCCAGCATCAACTGCTCAAAGAGAATTTCGATTAAGGACGATGACTGCAGGTCTTTCAATACTTTAATGTCCGTAATGGTATCCTCCCTGGGGAGAGTCTGCGATGCATTCCCGCTCCCTTCTTCGCATGGGGAGTTGAGACTGGACATGAAGCTGTCAATAGCTTGTTGGTCGATCAGCTCCAGAGTGTCTAGCAGATTGCTCTCCATACGGCCTTCGACCCTTTCCTTTGGCTTGTCCCTCTTCTTCCGCCGCTTGCTCGTCTTTAAACACTTTCGAGGCCGTTCTTCTTCTTGAGACACGTTGCGCACATCGATCGACAACATTAGATTCCGAAATGCGGTGGTACAGGCGGAAACTGGGGCAACGAGAGCCGATGAGAGATTTGGGTGCTGGAGCGAGAAAGATAGAAGTCCAGGTAGCTGAACTGGACATGACCGGTTAGGCTCTAGATGAACGCCCAGGCGACCCCAAACCTGGTCAACTCAGTTATAACTGACTCGGAAGTTCCAAGACATAGCCAACATACCTCGCAACCGCTGACTGCCTCGGCGATGGCATTGAGACGGAAAGTCTCAAGGATCGGATGCCCATTAATTGCAATAGAAACCTCAAGGCAACAAGCACCGGACCGAGCAACCCAAAGATGAGAATCTTCCACTGCCGAGGAGAGATCTCTGATCGTTGCAATATGCCGTGCGCCATCAGGGGCATCGATATTGATTGATGCTGAAGCTGACAGTTCGACATTTGCCTGGTTTGAAATCACACGAATAGTGGGGAGTCGCAACGCGCACGACATCGTTATTCCATGCTTACCCAGGCAATGGGAGGGGAGTCGATACCTATGAAATCTTCCGCGGTGTTGTTGTTGGTGGAAATTGATCTCACGAATCGCATTTGCGGCCAAGGAAGGAGCTTAGGAGCTGATTGTCCATCCCAACAACGTAATGTGAGAAGCACCCGACGGGACAGGGGAAAGAAGGAGCGATCTGATAACGTCCATCATCTAGGTACTCGAGGTAGTTATAGTTTAATACGCGGCAAGCATCCAAAATGCTATTGGCAGTTGGGAGGTATTGATAGATATCGTAGCCAAGTCGCTAATCATTAGGGTAGGTTGGATGTCCAAAATATGAGTTCCTACTACTAAGGTAAGTCAACCACATAAATCCTAGGTGTGTACATCATTATCTGGCTATGTCCAGTCCAAGCCAGTAGGCGAACAAAGTCTATAAAATGCCCCCAATGTTTGCATCCATAAGTATAGTGCGCATGCGTGCTCCGTAAACTCCGTACGATCAATTGATAGATTACTTTGCAAACCATGGGAACTTCTTCTTAGGCGGCTCAGCGAAACCCCCTGAGCCACTTTCAACTTGCACACTTCGCTGATAAATGTCCTGTATGATTCCGTTAGTTTGTGTCCTTGAGGGATCATGCAACTGATATCTCACCTCTTCATCCGTTGGCATGCGACAACCCAGAATCAGTTCTCTTGCAGTGTCGTGCTTGGTTAGATTTGGGTATGATGTGCTCTGGCTCTTCATGATTGGTAGCAAGACCTCTCCCAGAACCTCAAACTTCTTCCAATTGATGCGATCTCCATCTGTACCGACAAATGTTCTGCTTCCCTCCTCTGCTGACACCAAGTCTCTTCGATGAAGGGGGATGAAAGGAATCCGGGGGAGGGAAGAATTTTCCCAGGCTAGGCGGTAGGCGAAATGACTCTTCTGAGTTCCCATCAATATGCCCAACCGCGCAAACCGCTTTTGGACTTCTGCTGGTACTAGTGTTCTCGTCTGATTTAATCGATGAATGGCCGTTCCGTTCACACCTGCTAGAATGGCTGCCAGTCCATTGTAGTTGTTGAGTTGCCGCAGCTTGAGTGAAATATTCATGAACTTCTCTAATATTAGCGCTCGATGCTTGGCTTTGTCCCGCAGCAGAATCATGTTGGCAACCCATTTGGCAACATGATTGAAATGGTTGATCATTCGATTCACATTCCGTAAACTCTTGCAACGCTCCTTTTGGGACGCGGATAGGCTGACGTGTCGAACGAAATCGCGTATTCGAATTGAGGAAAACATGATCCAATCGATTCTGGTCAGCTCGTCCGCAACATCATCATCGGGGATGTCCATGAATATATGGTAGCGGAATTTGTTCATAGGTAAGTTGTCCGTAGGTTCCAGGTTGCTTGCAGCTCTTTCGTAGTCCTCAAACGTGTGAAAATGCACCTGGCTCGAGACACTGCTGCTTCTGTCCGCAAGAGAGACCTCTGAGCTTCCAGATGGTCTTCCGTCAATGTCCGACTCCACCGTCAACACACTCACACCAGATGACAGCTCGTTCATGTCCTTTGACAAGATCTCACTTGCGAGCTTATCGCTAGTCTCATCCGAGTTTGCCCAACCTGTATCGTCATCTTCCACGACATTGAATTGGAGGTGTCGTCGCATATGCTGTGCTGCGATTGAGAAAATCGGTTCTGTACTCAGATGCCTGATAAACTCCTCCAAGTTCCGTCTAGTTTGAGGGCGGGCGAAGTCGCCGGGGTAAAGTGATACCCATTTCGCGACCACCTCGATAATTCGGAGCTGTGTGGCTGTCTTGGAAAGGTAATGCGCTGTCTTATCGTCCCTCACTTTATCCAGTCGGGTTAAAATGGCAGTGAAAAGCTCACCAGGAGCTGCAAACTTGCGATAAAGACAGAGAAAAACATCAGAGAAGTTGTTGTCGATTCTTGTCAAGCGAGGAGCAAGAAGTCGATCAACTAGCTCATCGAACGTTACGCCTGCCATCTTCGCTTGCTTATCCAGCGTGTTATCGTCATTTCTTTGAAGTATCGGGATGTCATCGGAGTATCGATAGGACTCTGCGTCAGACTCATCCACATCCAAGAACGAATCGGTACTGGGTCTATCGAGTCGAATGCCAGGAGTCCTCAGCATGTTATTGAGTGTTTGCGCTTGGCCCATTTCTCCTGCCTCGGGATTCGAGCTGGCTATATGACCTTGCCTAGGGCTACGAGACGACTGCGCCCGGTAGTTTTCGTTAATTGGTGGATTGGAGAACCCCTTGAGTAAAGAGAAATCGGAGCTTGCTCGACTATGTTTGCTATGTTGGCTAATGGGGCGCCCGGTGCCAACGTCAGGAGCTTCCAAATTGGCAGCAGACTGCGCTCGCCTGCGCGAGAACGTTTCGCCATTTTCTTCTAAACCATAGTTAGCAAGAGTCTGTCGGTAATATCTTCCTCGTGCACTCGCCTCTTCGATGGGCTATTGCGGCTCTCAAGATGGTGTGAAGGCACGTTTTGGCAACATCAGTGTCATTTGAGGAGATTTTGTAGGTTGAAACACAAGATTTAAAGAGTTGATGATTCGCAATGGCTTCGGCGTTGACCTGCCATTCTGCTTCAGGGGTTTCACATTTGCAAGCCACCAGACTAGCGGGTAAACCAGAGTTCGTGAGAGCCGCTAGAATGGATCATTTAGTATAGCCTCAACCATTCAAATAGATGGATTTCATACCCAAAGTCTGAGGTAGTTCACGCACGGATTCATGATTGGTGACATCATATAATATAAGAGCAGCATCGACGCGGGGGACGATATGCCCATTGATCTGTTTTGGCCACTGGATGGGCTGCGTAGGGTTCAACTCGAAGTACTCTAGGTCCAGCTCGAGTAGAGTTACGGCGTGAGAGTTGTTGTCAACCAGCATGCGGACGCTGGAAGCATTCGAGATAGGTGGCCGAGACAGGCCTAAGACCCGCTGGACAAAGGATGATTTGCCAACCCCGGTGGAACCGATGACGGCAATGTTGAAACTTTCCATAGTCGGTGATGCTTGGGACTGTATAGCGTCAAGCTGTGGTCAGCCGTCTGTCGCAAAACTGCCTCTACCATCCAAACCCCGAATAACCGTTTGTTGAGCAACGCTGCCCCGCGATAGCTAGGGTGGGGCCGCATGTGATGGAACATGGTTACATACCCAGTACGAAGAGGGTGTAGCGGTCAAAGATTCTCGTCGAGGAGGCGGCCAGTATTGGCTTGGTTCGTTATCATCGCTGTCGGGCTTCAGTTTCTTTCCGCCGCCGCTTTTGCGCTTGGCTTGCTTGGCCGCTTTGCCGAAGTTGTGCCCCTTTGTGTCGTGAAAAAGATGCTCGTGGTCCTCGTCTTCTAGCGATTGGTAGACCGAACTTCCATCAGATTGGTCCTCGTCCTCGGAAACTGCAGCAGCTTGAACGGCCGGGTCGTAGGTCTGGAAGAAGGGGTCGTCAATAATTGAACCGACTGAATCTCGATGGCCGTTGGCCGGGGCTAAAGGATCGGAGTCGCTTTCGATGTCGGGGTCTATGGACGCCGGGCCTGAAGCGGCAATGCCTGAAGTTGGGTGAGCATTCTGTGAATCAACATGATTGGGTTGCATTGTCGCAACTTCAGCGACTAGGCTGAGTGGTAGAAATAAACATGGACGGGATAGACTCGATGCCAGCAAGCGCAAATGGCAGATGGAGGGACCAAATCCTTGCGGGGATGGAAGAACTCGTAGAGCTTGCTTGACTAAGGCAGGGTAGCTACAGCAGGGGTTCAAACCCGTAGTAGGCTGTGTATGAGAGAGAATGGAGAAGGGATGAAAACACTCGAGGTCTGAGTAACGAGAGACAAGAAGGCACTAAATGAAGAGCGAAATGCTAGCAAACCAGGGAGGGAGACGAATTTACCGTACCTTAGTGACTGACAAAGGCTTGCACTGTACTGTGTTGTACCGTACCGTGCTTGGGAAACCAACGGAATGAATTGGTTCGATGTCCAATTGGTGGCAGTTTGGCGACCTAGTGAGAGGGATGGATGGATGCGCAGATACCGCGGAAACAAGCACTGCGTCCTTTGGGTGACAGCCAGCAGGCGAGACAAATGGAACGGGTGTCTTGAATTAGTATAAGCACTGAATGTTCGGAACAACAAGGACTGGAGTCCTATCGGCTCTTGTCTCGAGGTACACACCGGGCCACTACCTATTCTGAGGCAATACCCAATACAGGCACCAAGACACGAGTACTCGAAACCTATTCGAAACCTATCGTATTAGTCCAATTCGACCAACCTTAAGCCATAAAACGGAAGCCAAGAGCGTTTACACAACGGGACAATGCATGGCATTCCGTCCGCAAGCGGGAGAACTACCTAATAATGCGCAACCACAGTGGCCCAACTACAGTACTGCAATAGAAATCTGTTGGTTGAAGGCCAATCTGGATTGGATATATCTTTGTGCAAATCTGAGGAGAAGCACCTCGGACAGATGTCAGGAGAGGAGAGGATGCGCTACGACGCGCTGAAGCGGACCCGGCGTCGTGGGTTGAAGAGTGGATGCGTGTGCGTATGTAGGCGTATGCAGACGCCTCTGACTCGGAAGAGAGCCACGAGGGGAAAACTCCTAAGGAACGCGTGCCTAGGAATGGACAAAGAGTATCATCAATCTTGACACCGTCAAGTTCGACTGCGCGAAATGTCGAATCTGGCACAAAGAGGGGAGAGAGCTGGAACCGAGCCTGTGGCTCGGAACAGGGAACGTTTTAGGAGCGGATGGTCTAAGGTACGGGAGACTTAGTTGGGCAGGCTATTTCCAGTTAAGGAAACTGGGTTCAAAGCGTTATGCAGGACTTGGGCAGGTCAACTAATAACTCATTTCTCGGCGTTGTTCTGAGGACTGATTTAAATTGAGTGTTGAAGATCAACGGTAATAGCAACCACCCCTAACAATATAACAGGCCAAAAAGAATGCGGCACGGTATCGGCATCGGCGCGGCACGAAACGGTTCCTGGAACACAAACAAAGGGTCTTTGTCCTTAACTGAGACAGTCAGCAACTCCCTGCTTCTATATAAAGGACCCCAAACCCAATTGCCCAAGACTAACTGGCCTTCAGGGCTTCATGGTTTTCACGCACTTTTATTGCACATCTCCCAGGATCCAATCCCGCGTTCTGTGTTGGCGCTTTGCTGCCCATTGGCCAGTGCACAATAACCAACAGGGACTTACCTGGCACTTGATCATTCTAGACAATCAAAGACTCACGTTCAGTTATACCAGTTCCTGGTTGATAACCACTTCAGCCAGCCATGAAGAAGCGGTGCCGATAGTGGGTGGAGCTTGGTACATCGCACCCATTAGGTCGATTCTGCCTTCCACATGGTCTTCACATCCTAGACATCCAGGACATCCAATAGCGACTGTTCAGACCTCGCTCGCTCATCCTCCAACCTACCTTAACCTACCGACCTACCTCAATGTACTTAAATTAGTAACTTACGCTGGACGCCATAAGATTCCAGCTCTTTACAGACAGACCTGGATGCCATGCAACATACTATAATCTAAGGCAACGGGCGTTATATAGTATGAGGCCGTGGATACACCTGGTCCATTCGGTTCTCATCACTTGTCATTTTCACCGTCTTCCATATTCGTCACCGAATTCCTTCGCAATCGATGCATGAATTGGTCATATCCTATGAGCTTGAACTCTCTAAAAGGCTAGAGTCAAGATGAGGAATATTTATGATTTTTATGAAGATTTCAGATTCAGTATTTGTTCCTAGAGAGGCATTCGGTAGAGCAAGCACAACTCCAAGACTCACGCCAGTCGACACTTCGTCACAATCAGAAGTTTGGTGCCGTGTTCTATTCTACGACTAAGTTCAAAGCTCAAACGGTCGACTGAGACCTGGAGGCGTATGGTGATAAAGTACAGAATTTGTAAGAGGATGTATCGTCGACACCGAGCTGCCATATATGGTCCACGGCTTGACTGCTCATTACGAACACTTCTCAAGACACTTCTCTGTTGTCGTGATGGAATGGAAAACAAGGCAGATCGGTCCGGTTCCCTAACAGGCACCTTCCAGAGAGCATAATAACTGACGTATCTGAAGATATTGGTTGTTATTAGCGCTCGTCCATATCCGTATCGTAATTGTGGGACCATAAGACATTCAAACTAGCACCTCACAGATTCGCTCACTAGCTTCGGGGACACGATTCATGAGGAAACACCAGTTAATAAACTTTGGTGGTTCGCAACTAACAGAGACTCTACTTGACAATTCTCCTTGGTATTCTCATCCGGCCAACTGGCTGATACAGAAATACGTCATTTGCATAGTTCCCCGAAATGGAGCGGATTGTCAACATATGCTTCACTTGCCAGAACTTTTTGCTGAAACAGTCAAGTACTCATGACTGCGAGCATAAGTAGGGTCTTGCTCCGCCAACAAGGGGAAAAGGAACGACTACAAGATATAACAGTTTGATGATATGCTATCCAAAGTACTTTTTTTAGTCAGATTTGCTATGCAGAGCCAAATATCTCGGCGGAAAGCTATGAGAGACGAGGCCAATCAATATTATCCATCAAGTTTCACGCTATTCCCATCAACAATAACTCGGCAACGGCGAAAACCGACAGAAAGGTTACGGTACTTGCAAGTATGCCAGAAGACCCTTCAAACATGCTTTGGGCTCTTGCGAATGCTCCGAGAGACGTTGTTCTCACCCGTGTCTTGTTCTAGTCATCATAAGTCACAACCGGCTTGGCACATTCCTGTGCCCAAAAGCGGGAGCTCTTAACTCGGAAAACGCACGAGCCGTCCTACGAGTCCTGTCAATGGATCGTACCCGCAAAGTGTAGCGCCGCCGTCTGCCAAGTTGGGTAATACAAGTGAGGTCCCAGTTCTCCCAGTGAACTGTAAGTTTGTCCGTGCCAGATGATGGGGTAAGCTCAGGGACAAAGCATGCATATGGCGATCTACATATCATAGGGATAAATCAATGCCGGATCTGCATCTTCGAGTGAGGAAACTCTGACATGTTTGATCCTTCGGACTTGACCTTTTAAAGAGGCACTCACAGGTATTGAGTGGCCGTTGTCTTGGTTGAGTGGTGCTCAATCTCTGTTGGTTCGACTCAGTGTCCTAGCAGTTCTGGCCCCTCCGACTGGAATTCCATCCACGTCAACACCATTCCCCAGCTGTTATAATGTGCAGAAAGCACGTTCAGCCACTTCGAGACCCAAGGTATGTCGCCGTGCCAATTCCCTAGAGAATTGAAATGTCTAGTCTTCGTTGACCTCCACATGTTCGTGACATCGGCTCTGTCACGAGACCCAATGACTGCTTCAATGTCTTACCAAAAGCCCTGAATGACGTTGGATCAACCCATGTAGCTGGGTCCTCCAAGAATCTACCAAACGTCCTGTTTGTGTGGGCTATTTCTAAAAGCAGCCATATCCGAGAAATAGGGTTTTTGTGAAATACTCGATTGGAGAAGTTGTCCCCTTTCGGCGATCAGGAACGCAGGCGACATTGGCTGATCATAACAAAGGGACCAAATTAAGCTCTGGCCGGACCAGTCCACCCAGCCCGCCGTCGAGTTGCGAGCCAGTTGCGCCACGATGGCGCTTTTGGTTGATAGATGCCCACTCATCGCGGACGGCTTCATAGTTTTCCTGAGTGGGCCAGGCCTGGAGTCCAGGGCTTTTGACATGCTTTGCCAAGGAACTGTAGCCATGACGACGTTTACATTTAGTTGTAGCCAAAGACATTTATCTCGCTGAGATCCCCAACATCCGTCAAGTACGCTCAAAGACTGTTTCAAGTTTTCTTATGTGGTCAAAGAATCGTAAAACGCAGGCTTGTTTGTCGATATAACATTACCAGTGGCCAGCAACCCTGCAGCCGTCATAGTGGCATTCAATCCCCTAGGATCTCATCCCATATCTTCTTCTCCAAGCCCGTCACCTAGCTTGCCCAGCATGACTACAACAATGCTGTACACGACGGGCATTTCAATGGAGGAGCCAAGCCATCGGTTCTCGCCCACGACAGTTGCTCCTGGGAAACCAAGGCATCGACCAAAAGCCTTGCAGATCCAGCCATTGGACCCTAACGAATTGAGCGCGAAATTGAACGATATCTCAGTCGAGCAAGAAGGCCAGCCTCGTCATCCAGTCCACACAGAGGACTCACTCCGGTCCCCATTATCTGCAACAAGTATGGGCGCCCCGTCTCCCCGGACTATTCAGGCAACGCATGCGTCGCCATCGATTCCAACCACCGTTTCATCAAGAGTCTTTAGGAAGGAGAAGATTGATGATAAACTCAGTTCACCCTTGTCTGCAAAGCCGCCACGCCGTGGCAGCTTTTTTGACGCATTTCGCTTCAGAGGCTCGAACTACACTGATGAACTGCAGAAGCAGACAGAGGAGGAGGGTGTTCAGAAGCCTGCTCGTTACAAGCATGTCCCTCAGGTGGCAGCGCAACAGTTTGCTCGCACCACGACAGTCGAGCCCCTCACTCAGAAAGCTTCACCCAAAGGAATGAGACCTACTCCCGGCCCCTACTCTGTGAACAATGGCACCATATCGCTGCAAGAATACAATAGGCAGTATAGAAGAGCACAGAGTCTCTGCAGCGGAAGACCAACTAGCGCCAGCAACGTTGCGAGAATGGGAGGCACTGAGCTGGATAAAGTGTCAGCCCAACGCAAGAGACAAACCGCCCGTAGTTCCATGCTCTGGAATGTCAATGGACCTGAGTTATCACGAAGAATGAGCACCGGTAACATGCAGCCCCTGCCTCAAGCCCGGCGAGATTCAATAGGTACGGGCGTCGGAGGCTTTCAAGGGAACGTCGCATCATCTGCGAGGCGTGGATCCGCAAGCTCGTCAGGTTTCTCCGATGCATCATCGCCCTTTGTACGCGAATCTGGCCCAGCAACCCCTTTCAAGCAAGAGTTTGGTATCAACACTTCGCCTAACCGTCGAGGGTCTGAGACTAGTGCAGCCACTTCTGGTTCGCGGAGAGGTAGTTTTGTTAACGTCCCCAACCCTCAGCACGCGGCTGAGATACACAGGGTGGACTGGTCTCAGAGTGACCAACCAGTCAAGGGTCGACGAGATTCGAAGTGGGGAGGCCTCAAGCATCGAAAGACCAGTTTGAGCCAGCAGAAGCCCAATGCTGAGGACCAGGGCCCCAGTTTTACCAAGACGGGCTCACAGTTATCTGTTTCTCCGAAATCGCCCAAGTCTGGATTCTTAAAGCGATTCATGCATTAGCGAGGGAAAGAATGCGAATAACAAGGGTAATTTGACGGGTGGATGATATATATGGAAGAGCGAAGACAACTCACCAATGATTATTGTAACATAATGACCGAATACTAAACATGAAGGAAAATCTTAATATATGACCTCCGCAATCAAAAAAAGCATCTTCAGTGTCGTGTGAGATATGATTGGAACCAAGGGGAAAACCTAACGCTTTTCTTGCGCCATCAAGCGTTCGATAAGTTTTGTATCCTCTTGTGCCATTTTCTGCCGAAGAATATTGTCGACGTCCGTCCGTGCATTCTCGGTGTTCATCAAGTGAAGGATAAGTTCTGAATACTCGCGTATAGCGTCACCCTGCTCACCGTCCGCGCGACGAGCCTTGCGCAGAGCCTCTTTTCCGTTCTGAATACCAATGTCATGGTTCCAAGCTTCTTGCTTCGGTGGCAGACCCTTGAGGAGGGAGGCGGGGATGGCAGGCTTGGCCTCAGGAGGTGGAAGCGTGGCAGCATCTATTTTGCGGAGCTGGTCGGGAAGGCCTGGATATTTGCGAAAGAGAAGGCGAAGTTTCTCTGAGCTTTCGAGAGCCTGAAAGGGATTCGAAGGGTCGGGGAGCTGAGGCAGTGATGTTGCTAGCGACTCAGAGAGTGCCGACCGAGGCGCTGCTGGTGCTGGTGCTGGCTCGGGATCAGCAGGGTGATTTTCGTGATGGATCTTGTTACAAGCAACAGAACAGCTTTGATAATGGTTAGCCACTGACTGGGGTACCAACTGAGAGGTGAAACTTACTATGGAAGGCGACATCTTGGGCATTTGTATTTTGGGGGATTCACGTCACATACACCACAAAGTGAAGGTTCTGGTTTTGTTGTCGCATTATCGCCATCTTTGGCTCCAACTTGTGTAGTTGGCGTAGTAGTATCTTCTGGGTGTTGGGCTGGTAGATCATTTATTCGTTGAGGTTCTGACATTGTGATATCTTCTGAGACCAAGTGGGTATGAAGGTAGCTAAGATAAAGGAAGCTGATGTGATGGAACCTAAGGTAAGGTAAGTACTGTACGGAGTACGAAAGGAAAAAAGGTACAAAAAGTTTCAGTTCCAAGGGGTCTATCGCCCCGCGTCATTACCCGCTTGACATTTTGGACCCCAGCAATTGCAAGCAAAAGGAAAAAGAAAGAAAACAAAAAAAAAAAAACAGAGGTAGCATGCTGGTCCGTGCACTTCCATCGGGGACTTTAAATTTGCCCTTGCATCATAGGTAGCTCACCCATTACTAATGCTCGGACCTATCGCGGCAAAGCGAGTGAGTTTACACAAGCACAATAGTTGGAGCGGCGAAAAGTTGCTATCCATAGCATAACCGTCAACGCCGAAACTAGCCTGTCTTTCCTTTTCAAATTTGTTTCTCAACAAAAACCAGTTTTCTTGAACCTTGGCCTCTTATTGCAGTCGAACCGGTAGCATCCTTTCTTTGATATATCTATCTTCAGAACCTACGTCATGGCAACTTCAAGAGCCATGTCACGGACATTGGCCACTGTCGCTCGGCCCATCACAGAGACATCTTGCCGAGGAATTCCGCGATGGACTCGTTCAATCAGCACCGTCCAGTCACAACTTCTTGTCGGTTCTTATACTACACGGCCCCTTGCACGGCGACAGCGCAATATTCCAACTACCATACCAAGCCTCGCCGGTGTCGGTAGCGGGATCCGAACCATCTTCATCCAGACGGAGAACACCCCGAACCCAGATGCCCTCAAGTTTCTACCGAATCATCGAGTCGTGCCCGAGGAGCTCTCTACGCCTTTTATCGAGTATCTCAACCCCCGAGCAACCATTTCTCCGCCGTATCCTTCTCCACTCGCTGCCAAGCTTATGAATATCGATGGAGTTACGTCGGTTTTCTACGGCACCGATTTCATTACTGTTACGAAGGCTGCAGATGCCAATTGGGCACATATTCGACCGGAGATCTTTGCCCTCATCACAGAAGCCATCACTGCAGGTGAGAAGATAGTCACTGTCTCCGAACGCCGGGATGGCGAGGCCGGCGCGGCCGAGGAGGAGGATAGCCTTGCGTACAACGAAGATGACAGTGAGGTTGTTGGTATGATCAAGGAGCTTCTTGAGACACGAATTCGACCAGCTATCCAGGAGGATGGCGGCGACATAGATTTTCGAGGTTTTGATGACGAGGGCTATGTGCATCTCCGGTTGCGAGGTGCCTGTCGTACTTGCGATTCCAGCACTGTCACCCTCAAGAATGGAATTGAGGGCATGCTGATGCATTATGTAGGTTCCCCATTATGGCTTACACTGTGCTGTCTTAGGCTAATGTTACTTCCAGATTGAGGAGGTCAAAGGTGTTAAGCAAGTGATGGATCAAGAGGAAGAAATTGCTTTGCAGGAGTTCGAAAAGTTTGAGGAAAAGCTCAGGCAGCAAAAGGGCACCGCCGCCTCGGCAGCATAGAATGGCTGAAAACAAGGATTATCCTTATATGTATGATATTTTGGTGGCAATTTGATGATACCCACGGAATCTATCCCCTTCGCCTGCCATCTCATCATTGTAAAGTGCTGGGGGAATGATCCTCTAATCACAATTCGACGTTCGGACCAAGACTTGTGATGGGAAATGCGCATGTACGGCATATCGGCCCTGTGGCCTATTTTTGAGAGCGGAGGTGCTTTGCGCAGTATCGGATCTAGCTGAGGACTAATCCCAACTGAAAATAGATCATATAACCAAATTGAACAAGCCAGGGATAGTCGATCACAACAATGCCGCTGCTACCGTGCTATGCCCATTACTGCAGGAGCTCTCGAGATGGACGACAGGATTTCCAGAAAAGATCGGATTAGTCGACGTTTCACTGTTTGAACAAAAAGGGTTGGTGGAAGAAGAGATCGGAGATCAGCCTAAAGCTGACGCTTTGGGAACATTGCTGGGAGAGAAATGACACCTTCACCATGCCAGCGGTGTTTGGAGGTCGTGCTGCCTGCGTACGCTTTGACGAACACTGGTTGCAAGGGAACTGGGTTTTTTTCGCATACGATCCATGTATCACAAGACGGCCACCTTTTATGTATTGGCAGACTCGCTATTGACAAAACGAACGGGGGTGCCGTGCCTGAATTGGGCAGTGAGCATCTAACTTTGACATAGTGTGATGTTTCGAAGAGCCTATAATTGCACCGGGATGTTCCAAAGGAATATTATCCGTCAGTCGTTGGGGTGCTGGCGGAGTTTGAAAATTGCTTTCAACGAGTCTTATACGCGGATGTAAATGCAGATGCGGGCGCGTTGATCTCGCTACTTCCTTGCTTGTCTTTGTACGGTCAACAATGCATGGACATCGATTGACAGCAGCTTTCCAGGAAAGACTGGTTTGAGAAGTTGGCAGCTGACTGTACGAGATTTCAAATGTTCTTATGACTTTGAATTGTCGAAAAAGGATCCGCAAAGAGCTGTAGGGGACCCCAGCGATGCACCATCCCCCACAAACATGGAGAACATAACTACCTGGTCCACCAAGGCTTTGGCTCTTCGGGTCTTTGAGAAACACACGCTAGATCGTATGGATCCGAAGATAAAGCGTCGCGAAATGCTCGAGTACGCCGCAATTGGCCCGGTTGGCGCGATCGGGAAGCTTGCGGACATGGCTTATTTTCGGCGTAACACTGCCTTGAAAGAGTAACGTTGGGTCAGATAAACTACGAGAATTGGATATTGAATTTGGACCCGCCGACAGCTCCAACTGCTGGATTAGCCGTACCAGTTAAGAGCCGCCCTGAATACACCAAGGTCTCCTTGGCTCCGCCGGGAGAATGTCACAAGTCGATGTCGACGAGATTCTGCGTTCCGGTTGTGGATGGACATGCAGGGCCGGAGAGCCGCCGGCATCATTATCATGATGCAGTAATAGCAAAAGAGAGCTCTGCAGTAATATGCCGGGAGCCCTTAAGGATGACCATGTAGGTATCTCGGTCCTTTACTCTGGCCTCCAAGTACAATCAAGCACAGTACCCATAGGCATGGACCGGATATCTATCCAGAAGAAGCTTGTCAAGCGACCGGCAAAAACCTGGAGAATGAATTCAACCGCGAATTGAACTTAGCTGAAGAGAAGCCACTTTGCACTAGAAGCCCGTTGCAGTGGGATGGCGTCTTGGGATTCTCTGATCCTGTTTCTGTGATTGGCGCGGGAGTCAACATGCAGTGGGTGATACAGCCTCCACCGAGGCAAACCCCACAATCCCCTCATAGTGAGCGACGTGCGAGAGCTGTTGGCGTGTCCGGATCTCGAGGCCCTGCGTTATTGTTTCAACGTGGGGAATCAGGTTTGCCTTGATACCAGGCAACCAAACATATACCGGGCGATAGCAGAGCGCATGACCCCAAATTTTTCTCCGTGGGAGAAAAGGGTATGATTTAAAAAGACCCTTTGCGCCTCGGTCTGGACGGGTTCGTTACCTCGACTTGTGCCTTCTTTAAGCCTTTCTTGAACTCAAACGTCTTATAGCACCGATACCAGACTCTAGTCGCACGAGGTAAAACACATACATCGCCCACCATGAGCCCTTCAGCAGTCGAAGGAAATGGGGTCGCAGATGTCAAGACGACTCTCAAGCCCAACATTGGCGTTTACACCAACCCCAACCATGATCTCTGGGTAACGGCTGCTGAACCCTCTGCTGAGGCCGTCAAGTCCGGCTCCGACTTGAAGCATGGCGAGGTCAGTGTTGCTATCCGCAGCACTGGTATCTGCGGGTAAGTTGCCATCATGTTCTGACCCCGCCTCACCTAGAGCAACCGCTGACCGGGGTATAGCTCCGATGTTCACTTCTGGCATGCTGGTTGCATCGGTCCTATGATCGTCGAGGGCGACCACATCCTAGGCCATGAGTCGGCCGGCGAGGTTATCGCCGTGCACCCTTCTGTCAGCCATCTCAAGGTTGGCGACAGGGTCGCTGTCGAGCCAAATATCCCCTGCGGTACCTGCGAGCCCTGCCTTACTGGCCGATACAATGGTTGTGAGAGCGTCCTGTTCCTGTCAACACCACCTGTTCCTGGCATGTTGCGCCGATATATCAACCACCCGGCTGTCTGGTGTCACAAGATTGGAAATATGTCGTTTGAGAACGGCGCTCTCCTCGAGCCTCTCAGTGTTGCCCTTGCTGGCATGCAGAGGGCTCAGGTCGCCCTGGGAGACCCCGTCCTGATTTGCGGTGCTGGACCTATCGGGCTGATCACCCTTCAGTGCTGTGCCGCCGCAGGTGCTTCTCCTATCGTCATCACGGATATTTCAGAGAGCCGGTTGGCATTTGCTAAGGAGCTCTGCCCTCGCGTGATTACACACAAGGTCGAGCGACTGTCAGCTGAGGACTCCGCCAAAGCAATTGTTAAGAGCTTTGGAGGTATCGAGCCCAGTGTTGCTCTGGAGTGTACCGGTGTCGAAAGTAGTATTGCCTCTGCCGTCTGGTCAGTAAAGTTTGGCGGCAAGGTCTTTATCATTGGCGTCGGAAAGAACGAGATTAACATCCCCTTCATGCGCGCAAGTGTACGAGAAGTCGACATTCAGCTACAGTATCGTTATTGCAACACCTGGCCTAGAGCTATCCGCTTGGTTGAGAACAACGTAGTTGACCTCTCAAAGCTCGTCACTCACAAGTTCAAGCTTGAGGATGCCATCAAGGCGTTTGAGACGTCAGCAGATCCCAAGAGCGGGGCCATCAAGGTCATGATCCAGAGCCTGGATTGAAGACGGAGTAATGATCAATATAAATTTGGTGCTCGGCGTATGTTTTTGATTTCTAGGCGCGGGTCCGTTAGAAGACCGTACAAATAGCCTCTATTTGGGATATAGACATGAGAATATGAGATTTGGTGAAGAACTTTTGGCCATGAACTGGTGATATGAATATGAATGCCTGCGGAGTCAGATAAAGCAGATGCTAGATAGGAAAATGTCGAATACGCCATTTGTAAGCTTGAATTCAAGATAAGGAAATCAACGGCTTTGACTGCTGTCCTCAAGCATTTCGTTTGGGAAGATATAGTAGTGAAGGTAGAATAAACAATTCATCGGGGTTCTTGCCAGTATGTAGGCCATCCAGCGGCAGCGCGGCTAGCAAGTCCGAAAACGGTCTAGTGTCTTAAGCCGTCGGCTACAACCACCATCCAGCGAGTTCTTCCGAGCTTTTTTTCTCCCTCAGACGACCTCACTTAAGATCCAGACCCAGCTTCGACTCCATCAATTGACCACCCGCCGCCGGTCTCTTTACCCCACGGAGCTCCGATATCGAATCTACGAGGCATCTCGCACTCTTTTACTGCCTTAGCCGTCACCATGTCTTCTCTCGCTCGTCCCATGCTCCGTTCGCCCGCTCTCCGCGTCGCCGCCCGACGCTTCGAGAGCACCGCCACCCAGAAGGCCACCGAAAACGCAAAGCAGGCTGCCTCCAAAGCCACCGAGAATGCTAAGCTGGCTGCCTCAAGGGCCCAGGAAGGTCTGTCGCGTGTCACAACCGCTGCTGGCCCTGCTATTGCTGGTTATGCCAAGGGCGTTGCCAACACTCTGGGCAAGGTTGGCGGACGAACGGGCAAGGTCATCGGCTTCGTTGAACGTACGTGGATCATTACAAAAGTCACAACCGGTGGCCATTGAATGCTGACATTGTAATGCAGGACAAGTCCCCTTCGTCGTTTACTACTCCAAGGTCGCCCTCGAGCTGGGCAAGTTCGTCTTCCACAACCAGAAGATGAGCCCTCCGTGAGTTCACACAAGTCCTTCATATGGCGGGGCATCGACTAATTTACATCTCGCAGCAACCTGGCCACCTTCCAAAACACATACCAGAGCATTATCAAGTCCATCCAGAACCGTACCATCATCCAGTCTTCTCAGAACGCCATCCAGCAGGTACGGAATATCGGCCCTGCTCAGCTCGCCGCTGGCGGTGTTGTCGCAGCTGAGGTCCTCGGCTTTTTCACCGTTGGTGAGATTATTGGGCGATTCAAGCTTGTTGGCTACCGTGGCGAGGCCTCTTCCCACCACTAAATGTGTCTCTTGTAGTAAGGAGCAGGAGTTGTAAGGATCGATGAGTGCCGGACGATGTGATAACAAATAAGGATGAGTGGGCTTTAGACTTGGTTCTCCCCGGCCGGGGACGCCTGAAAAGGGCTGGTTGGAGACCGTTTGTTTGGGGGGGAGTTGAAAACTGGGAGACTTGGGAATACCGGTCTCACCGGACCTGTGATGTTTGTCCTCTGAGCACTTTTCTTTTGTAGAACTGTACATCAACCAGCCTCTGGCGGGCTGCCCCCTTCGTGGACAGCTTTGAACAATGATATTTAATAACTATATGAGCCTTCCTGTGATCAATCAAATGTTCCTTAATTACAATCGTCCCGGTAGCATACATAACTTATCATGACGTCTACTCACCTAGCACCGTTTAACAAATGCCTTTGACTACCTACCACAGTCTGATGTTACTGACTCACTCTTAAGACTCTTGATGTGGTTCAACCTAGGTGGCCCAAGTTGTCTACGATCGGGATTTTCTGGAATGAGCTATTGCTATCGCTTCGCCTATAGACTTTCATTTTTATTTTCAAGAGAGCAAGTTGAGAAATGGGTCAGTATAACCGCAGTTGCGTTCATATAAGGTCATCTTGGCATGTGGTTCCTATACTGACAATGCTTTTAAGACCGGAGACGTCTTCCAATACGTACCTTATTTCCCACGCAAAAGGAGGCTGCAATTGAAGGGATTCGCACGAACAAATTCATGTCGCAGCCTTACTCAACTCCACGACATACAAGCTCAGAACTTTCAAGTCCATTAAACGTACTTTATATATGAATGTATGTAGGGTAAACATCCATGGAATGGCAATATGTAGCACGATACATTTTGAACGTATTCACATTTCTGTATGAGATCCGGGGGTTCTGATGAGTGAGCTCTGCAAAGCTCCCTGATCGATTTGCCAGATGATACCTGCAAATGTAAATTTCCTCAACCTCTGGAGCGAACTGATATCCCATGATACCTAAACCGAGCAAACTAGCTCACTGGGGCAAGTCTTGCGAAGGACGTGCTCAATCCGCATCTGCCATATCAACTGCTTTGTCATAGCTTGATGAACCTCGGACTTGTCCACCACCTTCTGCTTCTGGAAATAAGGACAGATTTGGGGTGTATAAGCCCTTTCTTTCGATGTTACCTCCTCCACACAGAAGAAGTCAATCAGGCGTCTAATAGACGACAGAATGACGGACCACAGGAACAGACGTGGGAGCACAGCCGCGCGCGAAAATCAGATATGGACTACACGGAACGCAGGGCGATGCGGTTGAGTTATCCGTATGGTCTGGACCCTGGCCGGTGTTGAAGGCCCGTCCCGAGGCGCGCGGACCTAGATATAATGGAGTCCGACATTGGCCCTTGGCAAAAACGGTGTTGTTCTTACCAGCGCTTCTGCCACAACAGGTAGCAGAGCCCTTACCAGCGAAGCGAGCAGATAATGTCACCCTTGGCAGATGATTGTGGCCAGGTGACCATTATCTAGCGGTCAGATAATTTGAGAAGATCGACAGCCTTGTTCAGGATGGTGGACTGGTTGATGTGATCAAGACCCCGCTGTTGGTGATACCAATTGAGAATCCTTGCCTGTTGGTGACCGTCGGTACCACGCTGCCATTGAGGTAAGGCGTCTCTTCAGATTCAAGGGACCCCGGAGTATGAGAAGTGAGAAGTACTGCAGCATTGGGAAATCGTGTTACCATTTATGGATCGTCACGATGCAGTTGCGCGCGAAAGCGCTGGCGCCGGCGCTTGAAACCCTGCCAGTTCACCAGGCCGATTTGGATTTGAAACCATGTCATTCCCGAAACCGACGGACCGAGGGCTTCACCACGCTCTTCAGCGTACTGTGCTTCGAACAATGCGTATCAGTATTGCCAAGACTGTTCGTATTCCTTGCGTTGTGCGGTGAATACCCCCCCGCTTGAATGAGAATTTGGCATTACTGTTGAGGTCCGGGCTTCCTAGCCGTCCAGACATGACTTCGAAAGCGTTAGCAGGCCATCAAGTGTGACGGCAGGAGATGTTTGTAGACTCACATATTACAATAAGTGTGATAGCGCAAAACACACGTTTCGCGCTTCGCTCTCTCACATAGCTCACGAACTTCCTCGGCCTCGAATCCGAGTTTCTCGATTAGGGGTTTTAAACTCATGGCCTCCAGACTATGAGACAGTCCGATATTGAACCATCGGGCGATTTCACGTTCATTTCGATCAGCAGACCAGGGGCAAACATAAGCCTTGATCACCTCCTGCCTGATATCTGTGAAACCTGCAGCTTCGAGCATTTGCCGATGTTCTTGCGGTGTGACTCTGACACTGCGGTTGAATCGATCCATGCCATCGAGAAAAAGCTCTGCCCACTTCACGAATGCGGAATTTGCTGGGCGTTCATCATCGTCACATCGGGGTATCCAGTCAACCTCGATGTGCTCGAAGAAGCCGATGCCTGGGGTCAAGTGCCTAGTGAAGTATCAGTGCGATGCTCAAATATATAGTTCCGAACATACTCAAAGACATTGTGGTAGACTTGAGGCCACAAATCCGTTTGAATACTGCCAAGTAACATTCGCATATGAATCAAATCGCAGTCCGCCAGTAGGGGCCCCCAAGACGGTTCTTCAATGTCATACTGCTTTGGCATAAAGCCAGGAGGAATCCTATCTACATTAGCCGATGGCCTACAGAGAGCGAGTGTGAGCCTACAATGCTGGTTGGATCTGATTCAGGTCTACGGCCATGATCTGGGCATCTGAGAGACATCTTCTTTAGGTCAGCAACGTGGTAATAAACGAGATCAATGGCACAGGCATGCATACTCTTCGGCCACGTTGATTGCCCAAATACCCGTGCCCGTACCAATATCCATGATTCTGGGCGAGGGGCGTTTGATGGGAGCTAGAAATGGCTTATTGTCTCGTGCCAGAAGGAAAACTTTATGAAATATATCCAAACGATTCAATTCTTCCTATTGCTGGTCAGGTGGCGTACGATATTATCATTTGCAGATGACTTACTGAATCAATTGGAAATAAGTATTTGCCAGGTTTCCAAGAGCCATAAAAACGGCCATGTTGCCAGAATCCATCTTGAAGGTATCGCCCTTCCGACTCGTTCACGCTGCATTGCACATGTAAGATTGGCTGCTCCACAAAGAACTCTACAGCATACCTGTTTTGAGGAGGCATCACAACCATCGATAAAAACCGTCGAAGCTGCAATGTCCCAATGAAGCGCAGGGCCTTACACGAGGGCCACGAGGCAAGGCTGCAGCAAGACGTGATTTGCCGGTGGGAGATGACACAGATAATCCGGACTGCGTTTTTGAATCCAGAATGAGCGAAGTTTCCAGTTCTGGTGGAGAATATCGCTGCGAGAGTTAGCAGACGCACGAAAGTGAAGAAGACAAGATCCACCAAGTGAAGTATAAAGGAAAAATAAAGCGAATATTCGCGGAGGAATGAACGTGAGAAGCAATGCGGGTCCGACATCATGAGAGCCTAACATTTTCAAGGGAATGCGATATTTGAGTTGTCAGGAGAAGCGCAACATGCTTCGGGCACCTTGGCTCTCGATGGGTTGTTTCAACCAAACTTGAGGATCGCCCAGGCATACACACTAGCACAACCCAAAGAACCTCTAACGGCGATAAGTCTGGGAGGACGCAACATTACAGTTGTGTTTATAGCAGCTCCCGTGGATCAAAGCAGAGAAAACCCCACCCAATGGTGTTTATGGCCAGATTCGAGTTGACTGAGAGTCCTGGGGGAGCAGAAGGCTTGAAAAGAGAAGAGAGGGTAGGATGTCTGAGAAGCCTCAGGATGAACTCGCATAGGCGGTTTATAGTCTGAACTTACCGAATATGAGCGAGTCCAGAGGCCGAAGCACGTGTATTAGAGAGACCAGAAGCCGTCCAAGAAAACGCCAAGAACGTTATGGAGTGTCGAATAAGACGTTGAGAAGATAAATTTACGCGAATCGCAAATTGACCCGAGGTGAAACGTCGGTGTCAGGGCTTGAAGATGTTGAGCTGGGCGTTGGTTGTGTATATATATATGCAACTGGATAGAAGACCTCCTGGATGCATTCCAATTTCAGTTTCTGTCTCGAGAATACGGCCAAGTTGGCTCACGAAAGAAGGAGATGGGAGGCAGTTGGAGGATGAAGGGTTCAAATGAGTTGAGTTTGAAGATTGTAGGAGGGGTTTTTGTTCTCTCGTGATCCTCTTTTTGAGACTTGTGGACCGAAAAGCTTGAGCCCAGATGATCACCGAGTAGTTAATTGAGATAATAGAGACTCGTAGTTGGAGGTAAACAAATGCAAAGGGCATTAAAAGCGTCATGGGCAAGAAAGAAGCTGGAAAAGATGAGGAGGAAGGTTGTTGATACTTATTGTTGCCAGCAAGAGTGTGGAGCTGGAGCGTGGGACATGGATACAGCTAAGGTACCTAACTTACAGCGCAATTGTCCACCTTAGGTAGCTTAAGGCAAGACAGGGCAAGGCGAGGCAAGGCAGCCCTAGGCACAGCGTTAGAGGTACAGGCACGGGTACAGGTACAGGTACAGGTACAGAGACAGAGACAGAGACAGAGACAGGCATGGATGGATTCAATGGGTCCTACCTAGCAGTTTAGGTGGACGTGGGACCTTGGACCTTGAACCTGTGGGTGTGCCCCTCGAGGGTTCGCCCCTCTCCATTTTTGCATTACACCCCCTGTTGAGATGACGGCTGTTGGTCGAGTCTTGCTTGTTATTTGTATTGTGATTATTATTATCATCATGCGCCTCGAAAAGCGGTCGAAGCCTTGTGTTACCATCCCTGAAGAATCTTTCTGATGGGCATGAGAACAGGCAGCCCACATCAGATTACTTATCAAATGCCACTGAAGCCAGCGGCACTACAACTTTAACCAGCCCGGGACTAAGATGGGTCGGGCTGAAAATAGATCAGAATCGTAAACTTGCCATTCATATTCCGATCTCACTAATAAGTACTAGAAAGTGGTGAAGAGGGTATCCAAAAACTTGCGCCAAGGGTGCCGCCAAATGGTAGGGACAAAGTACCGTCCGTATCAACGTCAATCACAATGGAACCCACACACAGCTCATTCAGAGGGGCAACCAACCTCGATATCGCCGGGCTACCTAGCGGGGCTGATGGATGGATTCGTGTGAGAACCACTTGTTGTGTTATGCAAGGAACTTAACCTGCCTTACCTACCCGTCCATACTGTACCTACATACATGTGCTCACCCACTGTCTCTGACAGCCTTTGGCTTTGGACGTTCTGCAGCACCTGCAGCGAACTCCTTCATCGCGTATCCAGCCCATCAAAATTGTAATAACATATGCATCGCGTTTCCTTGGCTGGCCTCCCCAGCCGGCCTGTGACGTTGGTTTCCATAGTAGAAACGGTCCATAAGGCACGAAATGGTCTCCCGACGAGGTCTTGTTATTCTGCAACACCCGATATCACATCCATACTTGGGGTCCTCTCTCCTTCCAGTCTCGCGGTATGTGATTTAGGTCGCACCGATGGCCGTTTGGCCATCTTTGGAATAGCAGGGAGAGGAGTGCTGGATCTCAACGTGCGAAACACCCAGCCATGATGGCTTTCCCTTCTACAGGATTGATTGATGCCGTTGGGTATCATGATATGGCTGTCACTGGTTGACGGCGCCGAAGCCGCAACCGCCCATTGGCCTCGGGCGATGGACGACGGGTGCCGTTTAGGTTCTTTTCTTCTCTTGTTCGTGTTGGTTCCGTCCCTCTAACCGCGCCCCCGATCAGCCACTGATCGCTGTCACTGTGGAGGATGAGGGGTTCGTCCCGCTGTTGGTTGTGTTTCGGGGAGGATACCAATGGCCCCTAGCCGACGACGGTCTTGTCTCTAATCACTTTAGCATCGAGCCAACAGGGAACATGGGACTAGATGAGGGGACTTATTGAAGACAAAAAGGTCAGGACTGACTCGGTTGTTGTAATCGATGTGATGATTCCAGATTTGATGCTGGCTCGAGACATTTGCTATCGGGCGTCAAATGGATTTCGTGGGATACACGTAATTTTTTCAGCGACCTCAACACTAGGCCATTTCTTCTTTGCAACAAACATTCCCGGCTTCATGTTGGCTTTCGAATCGAGACAGCCGGCTCATGTTCTACCAACATTGGATGTAAGATTATTGGCCCATGACTTTTTCCCGGGCGTTGTCCCGACTAACATATCATTGGCCCATGCCTCTGATTCAGCACAGGAATTCATTTTAGATTCTGTGTTACTTGGAAAGCCGTGTCGACTTGGACACTACAGAGGGGAGGTGCTAAAAAACGAGATACTAGGTCTCCCGAGAGCAGTGTGATAAATCAGTCTCAGTTGAACTTTAGGCTGTTTGTGAGTCGAACCATGCCTGAGAGAGGGAGGAAAGAAGCTCTCCATTGTCAAAGGTGGTGCGCCAGTCAGGTGGTGATGCTAACTACCTATATCAATGGAACTTATCATTCAAAGGTATTGCAGAAAAAGAAAAATCTGTCCCAGTTCTCTTCTCGTTGACAACAACCTTGTTAGAGTCAAACAGGCCAACCCGATGTCGTGGGCGAGTTCCCTAGTGCCCGCCCGCTTCTCCTTACGCCGTCGCAGACTGTCCAATCTCTGATCTCTGCGAGGCTCAAGCCCTGAATCAAGCACCTTACCCTGCCTTAGACACCACTGAAATGCACCAAAACTGTCGGGGGGTGTGGTTTACGCTAGGGAGATGCTACGGAAACTAGTGCACAGAACCCCTGCCGTCCAAGGCTCGCTTTTGGATCATTGGCGCTGAACTCAGGTGTTGTTTGGCTCCAAGGCCCGCCCGCGGTTTTCGTTTCGTCCCGTTTTGGTCTTCTTTCTCCATCATCTTGTTGCTCGCTTCTCACCGATGAATTACTTGCTTCGATGAAGCTCCTGATCGGGTGTATAAATGCGTGCCATTTGCTTCGGAGGATACCGATGATCCAATTAGCTCTCTTCCCCACCAATCTGATACTCACCATTTGATGTCTCTCACAAATGGATGGGTCGTCGCCATATGTACGAATTCATGTCTAAGCTTGTATGCTCAATCCGATTGCTGCCTCCCCATAGACGTATTTCCAGGAAGTCTCAGACCAGTCTCGTCATCCTCAACATATTATCTGCGCTGGGCTGAAGGGTATATATACCAAGAAAGGTCTGATACTGGTCCATCGTGCCGAATAAGCAGCGTGAAGGGCCGGCACTTCTCCATCCAACACAGGGAATCGGGAAAAGCCCTGGCCGACCCGGCATTTCGATAACCATATCAGTTCCTCAAGCCTTGATCATGGATGCAGAATTTTACCGGTAATCTCTTCTTGGTAACGTGTTATTGTGAAGCTGACATGAAGATCTCCAATTCGGCGAGTCGTGTCACCGTAGCTTGGACTACTTAATCTAGGCATCAGCACGTTTGCATAGCCAACATATGATCAATCTTGCAAATCAGTGTCATTATACAAAAAATAGTCTGCGCTTATCATATTCATGCCACGTGATCAGTCGAAGCCCGAAATATGCCATGGACGGCCTCGTCCAAGGAAACCATACCTTTGCCACTTGGCATCTAACACCGTATTTCATCGGTTCTGGTGCTTGACTAACTCAAGCGGACTCATGGGCAGTTTGACGTCCATTCCGGATAGCTCATGACAAGATAACTTACACCCATACTCTGTCTTCTTATAAGATGTTTAGAAAGCGGTTTACCCAAGAAGTACATATCGATCAATGTCTAGTGGGAGAACCGACAGGGCATTCGCTTCTTCGGGGCAGACACATCTCGGATGCAATTATTCTGGGCATCTTATCAAACACGGTTCCCTCAACCATCACTGCAGGTAGCTTCGGCCAATTGATGAATGTGTTCCCCGAAATCGACTAATGTCTGGCCAGGTTTGTTCCCGACTGGCAGACAGCCTCCCAATGTTTCTTCGGATGGCACCAATCAGAGATAACGACGCTTTTCTCGTGAGGTACTCCATCATGCAAGGTCCAAGGGAGCAAGATGAGGGTTGTTGAGTTATGTATCCCTGAACCCTGTCCACTTCCGCGCTAACCCAAATTACCAAAGGATTGGTTCCGAGATACCTTCGATGCAGATCCCACAGAGCCCGCAACAAAAGCCAGATCTAGTAGTGGGTTTTCAAGTCTATGCACCGTACTTCTTCATCATTTCAATGCTAGATGACATGCTACAACGGGCTTCAGAGCATGGGATAGCAGTAAGAGATGAGGTTTGTACTCGATCCTGGACTCTCCAAGATATGGTCAGGAATCATCGTCGTCTTACAATAACCTTTGTTGACTGTGAGGAATCCACTCTCAGCTCATCAGCTCACTGATAGACTACATCTTAGCCGAGGCAATTCCAGGAAAAGAACCCGCTCGTTGTTCTATAGTTGGCTACATATCAGTATAGCTCCTGATCAGGCATCATAAAGATGACTACTGCAAAGCTTGCACTAATCACTTCAATGGGGGCGGCGCACCATGATCTATGGTGCCAGCCCCCAGATATTCATACCACACGTGCCATGTCTGCTGGCGCGATTCGCGCGGTAATGTTACCATCCAGCTTTAGACTCAAACCAAAACAGCAAATACATCTACTGGGACTTGCGACCGGTCGACTTTGGGTACTTTACCCGGCCGAAGTCATCAGCGCAAATGGGCTATTTCATACCTCCCGCTCCTCACCGCTTCAGTAGCCGGAGAGGCCCAGGGAAGTGGACGAACGGGTGGAGATCTCCGAAGGTATCTGTGAGTTTGGTTAAACCGTTAATAGGTGCCAGACCCAGGCGACGAGGGAGTTTTGATACGAGACGAAACTTAACCGACACACCTCCATCGAACCCACAGTAGACTAGGCTGTACCATCCTGTCGGATCCCTCTATACGTACAGTACCTACATGCACCACAATACATTGGCCCACGTATGACCAGTGTAATGGGATAGTAAATGCCAATCGCCGGTCAAGAGAACAGTTACTGACAACGATGTGTATTTCACGTTGTTCTGTCGGGATCGTCGATACAAAACATACTGACCAATCTCATCTTCAGCTGCCCAACATCTATGTCTCAGCATAAACAGAAAACCATGTTGGAGTTTCCATCTCCTTGAGGGTGTCCTAGTAATCAAGAAAGTACCAATCTCACAAGATGGAATGACTGGGGCTGCAGCTCTCTGAGCAGGGTTCATTAGTGGTTACCTTGCACATGCTTGACCACCCACGATATAACGTCGCTGACTTCTGGTCATGCTTGAACCGTTAGGTAGCAGCGTCAGCATTTTTGGCAAGTCATTACCGGCCACCAATTGAAGTTAGCGAAAAGCTTGGTGATGCCGAAATTCGATTGCCATGTTCATTCATGCGAGACAAGTGTAATACAAGAAGCGAGTCTATCACTCGGGCTGGGCTGAGACTCCCAACTCCGCTATGACGGTACCGCACATGTACCTAATTTACACCCCGGTAATTGAGGCCCCCAGCAATCCCTGTCGGCTATGCCGCTTTGGTGTAAAGACCCGACCAGTTCCAGACTGTCGGGACAGACTGTGGAGTCTGTGAAATTGGAGTTGTGAGACTTGTATCCGTGCCTACTCCGTTCTTTCTGACTGTAGGCATTTTTACTACTGACGTTAGTAGTCAAGTCCAAGCATATAATTACCATGACGTCCTATACCGTTCGCCCGTATATATAGACGTTTTTGATGAGGAAAATAGGGACCCATAGTCCGTATGTAAGTGGTAATCACTCCAGAGATGAGTTTCAGCGTCACACCAATAGGCACATTAGTATGCCTCTGCACTCAAGGGTCTAAACATGCCGCGAGAATACCCCCCCCCCCCCCAAGGACTTCACAGAACAATGTGCCCCTTGCCTGTGAGTCTATATCATAATACTATTGAGCGAAGACTCGTCTGCACCGACCAGACGATCCTTCGTTTAACACCGACGCAAGAAGACGCCGAACAGACCAAGATGTTCCGCTAGGTTTCAACATACAATCCTATTGGACAAACCGAACCAACAACATAGCACCCCCTCGACACCCATTAAAAGCCACCACACGCCGGCTCGTAGCTGCAGATTGTCTGTGGTCCCAGCCCCGGGGCCGGCCCTAGACTGAGTCCGCCCTCTCACCTCACCTCACTTGCTTACCTCTCACTCTCACTGCCCACCTGGTACAATCCCACCGCTACGGACCAACAGCATAAGCCTAGTTCGACATAGGTTAGGCGTGACCCACTTGACATGGTTGTTTTGTACAATACTCGCTCTATGTATGTCTAAGCAAAACACGGCTTGTTTTGGAAGTGGTGAGGTTGACTACCAACATACATGAATCCTTCCACCTCGACCTTTTACTTCGCCCGGTTCGAAATACCCTTTCTGTTGAGCCGATGACGGCGGAAGCTTGTGCTGTCGTTCTCTTGCCAAGCTTATTATGCTGACATCTTGTATATCATCTGATGATTATATTGACTCATTCAGCTTCAACTGCTACGGGCATGGTTGAGGACAAGCAATCAAGCTGCTTTCATCGAGTGCACACAACACGAATTCCATAAGCTGCCCATGTTATTATTGCTATACCACTTGGCTTATTGATTTGGAAGCAGGGATCAATGGCCCCAATCATAAACAGAAGCTGCCGTAAGATAACCTGATATGGTCCCAATCTGTTGGCCGCGCTGCGGCATCTGCAGCCTCAAATTTTCTTCACCGCATGTACACATGACCCGTGACCGTCTTCATATACCCTTGCTGTTGCAATCAACCCAATGGCTTTGTTCCTCTTTGACTTTGTTTTGATCTTGTTTCCCGACACCACGCCGCCGATCTGGTCGCAAGGTCCAAACCACGTCGCTTTCCAAGCGAGTCGGTCTGAGTTCACCACTCATATTCACCAGTAGCCTTGTGAAAGACATACTCCTTGCCGTTGACTGTCAAGACTCCATCCTTAAGAGTGCACTTCCTATAGTTGCGGTTAGTAAATGAAACAAAATTACTCAAACTCATGCTGGAGTTGACATTGAAACGCACCACTTGTTCTTGACCCGCTGAACCTTGTCGTACATGCACAGCATGATATTGCCAAGCCCCTCATCATCAACATCATCGTCGTCTCGGTCCTCTTCTGGGTCATCGAGGTCAGAGTTGATGGCGTCGTCATCATCTTCGTCGTCGTCATCACCTCCATCGTATGCGGCAGGTTGTTTGCCCTTGACCACGCGTGATGTCGGGACCGACGAAGTTCGAGTTGCCTCTTTTAAAGGAAGCATCAGACCGCCGCCCTCCATGCTCTTGGCCTTGGCAAGGATTTGTTCATGCAGCATACGGTCGATCTCAACTCGCCCGAGTTCATGCAAATTGCCATCAGCAGCTCGTTGCATGAGTACACCCTCGAACTCTTCCAGATCGCCAGCGCCATCAGTCTGGCCGTTTTGAATGTGGGGCTGACCGTTGGCCGGGTGCTGCTGTTGCTGTTGGGCAGTTGCGGCGGCCATTTGCTGACGATATATCTGCTGCTGATGTTGTTGCTGGGTTAGGCCGGGCTGTTGCTGCTGATGTGGCTGCGGTAGAGCTGGTTGTTGTTGCTGGCTCTGCTGAGAGTGGCCTTGTTGCTGGTGAAGGGCGTTGATAGAGCTGGCCGCTCGCTGTCCATACTGAGCCTGCAATTGCTGAGCAGCACGATTGGCAGCTACATTGTTGTCATTCATGTTGATGTTGTTGTTGTTATTGTACTGTTGGTAGGCCATCGGGTTACCCTGTAAGCCGGGTTCTTGCTTGATAGGTACGTGAGGCTCGGTCTTGATGTTGTTGCCTTCGGGCTTGATACCATTCTGCACCTGGGGTTGGGCCATTCCCGGTAAAGAAAGGCCAGTTGGGTTGCTTAGCTGAGGCGAGAATTGAGCCTGAGCATGAGTCTGAGCTGGTGGAACAGCAGACGGTGGTGCTTGTGCGGGGGGGTCGGGCTTGGGGTCCCAAGGGAACTGGGCGACGTGAAGCTGAGTGAGCTTTTGCTGCCATCCCTGGTTTTGAAGCCATGTTAGCCGTTTTCTACATCAAGTATCCTTCGAACAAAAGAATGAAATTCGAGTTAATCATGGGACGAGTTCATCAAACACCTGTGTGCTTAAGCCGCATGTCTCAGCTCACTGGTGAAGCAGTGAAAGAACAAGCTCAATTAGAGACAAGGTGTGCAAATCACAGCATGTTTGGATTTGATAAGCAAAATGGAAGAGAAGGGGCAGCCATATTGGTGAGTGGGCAAAAGGCGAGGCAGTGCAGGTGTAAGACAGGTGTGTTGTGGTGATGATAGGATGATTTGGCGTGTACAAGTGGATATGAGATGATGATGGAGGGGGAGATACATTTCGAGCGAGCCAATCAGAAAGTAGCTGGTGTCGGCGGAAGGAGTCACAAGGCAAGTGGCAGTCGCAGCAGGGGCTATGGGCTTAAAAGACCCAAATAGTGCTGGGTCGCCCCCTCCCCCTCCCCGTAACCCGCCAACTCCCTCTGCCCCCCTTCGCCATGCTGCCTGCGATGCGCTTCGCTTCGACCGTGAGTCGATCTTCAGTTCTCTAGGCCATTCCAAAAGAGAGTGCTGCGACTTAATGGAACCTGCTGTCTTTGGTCTCGCCATACTCGTGGAGTATGATAGTGTACGGAGTTGAAACACATCGACACTCGTCTTTGTTGATGACACAGGCTACTCTCACCCTTTCCTTGGTGATTCCCGAGAATCAACGAGAATTGCAGGCAAAACATGAAACTCGACGAAAAGTATATCTCTTACCTGTCGCAGCTCCTCTAGCACTGATTCTTCAACGCCGCTCTCCTCGAAATCAACTCGCGAACTATTGACAACCTCGTCAATGATGGCTTGGTAGACGTTTCCGACGGCCGGGTTCGACATAATGATGTTATGAATGTAGTCCGGTCGATGGATTTGATTAGGATATTGAGAAGAGTTGGATCCTCGGTTGATGAGTCGCTGAAATGGCGTCGTCAAGCAGATGTGCCCCGATGGCAGTTCTCTATCCACGGATGACCTTGGCTCTGGCGAACGCAAGGTGCAGCTCGCGATAAGCAGCGCAAACCCGTTCTTCAGAAGAGACCTGAAAAGGACCTTTTGAGGAAGAGATATTGTGGTGCGGATGTTGTTGCTGCAGTGCTCGATAAATGCACTTGATGTAGATGTAAATTCGGCACTTAGCCACGGCGATGCGATGCGCCTAGCTAGGGGCGACTGTTAAACGATGAAAGAATTGAGTTCAACTGCAATGCGAAGCAAAGACGCTTCGAATAAATATCGAAAGAAGCAAGAGGCAAATCAATATCAATTAATTTACTGCGTCACACGGATGCAAAATACCGAAGAGGGTCTTGTGCCAGGTCGGGGTGTTGTGCGGCTTTGTGATGTGATGTGCAGTGGGGAGAGTTGGTAGCCTCTGGGAGATTTCTGTTTCATCAACTGCTAGCTGAGCTGACTCAGCACTTCAATCCCAGCGGCCACTGGGCTTTCCAGTCCACTGAGAGGCTCCGCTCACAGGGCTGATCGAGGATGAATGTAACCTACCTCACTGGGGCTCATCTCTCTAATATTGTAACAGCTCAGATGATATCAAATTCGCAGGTAGGCCTCGGGGTGGAAGTGAATTGGAACAACGGGGATGTTAAAATAAACACTAAGGTTAGGCTTTACTACACTGAAGCTGGCCCAAGAATTCTTTCACTTGTGGATTATTGTTTTATGTCTCTTTCACTCCAGCTACATCCCTTGGTGATCTTTGGTATCGAATGCAAACCGCCACCCGAGATATCAGTAGTGCCATGTAACATGCATCACTCACCCGGCCTTATGTTCACTATTTCCTCCATGGTTGGACACTTAAAGGCTCCCTATCGCTTCCTTACTCAATCGATCATTCATCTCTTTTCATACTCATTTATATGTTGTGTATGTATCTAACATCGCCATCCATCTTCAATAAAAACTTCATGCCACCAGTCGTCTCAGTGGGTGCGCCTCAGTATTAAATACATATTCATCCAGACTGATCAGCTCCGGGTCGCTAAAAATGAGATAAAAGTACTTGAGGGTTTCACCCATCCAGAAAGACTCCATTGAGTCCACGGCACGGGGTTTCTCCTCTGTAACAGTAACATCCCATACAGCTGTATTGGCCAGCTCTGTCTTTGTCGCTTCTTCAATCGATTTGAACATAGTCCAGGCGTGCTCGGTATACTCGTTCTCGCCGGTGACCCGGTACATCATGAAAACACTCTCAATGGCCTCTGGGCGCAGGATGTATCGGCGATCAGGAATATGAGTAAATCCGCCGGGAAGATGCTCGTCTTTGATAATAGCATCCGCCTGTGCTGCCTCGCCCTCCTTGATCTTTGCCTGCTTGAGGACACCTTCTTTCCACAGCTTTTCGTCCCATGGGCAATGCTCCTTGGAGTCGCAGGGAACCATATAGAAAGTCTCAGGCATGATACCATGAGGAAATGCTTCATAAGTGTAGATGCAACCATTGGTAAGTTTGACTGCAGTGTCGACGTCCTGCTGGCGGTTGAAGAGTCGCCCACCTAATGCCAGCATGCCTCCAAGGAAACAGACTAGATGCTGTCCCTGGCTCTCGAGTTCCAACTGTATCTTTCCACCTTTGTCTTTGGCATGAATTTGTCCAGATATGAGAATATCTTTGTTCTCAGGCGTCATCGGTCGAAAGAAATTGTGTTCTAATGCTGCATTCATGGCCTTTTCATACATGGTTTGATAAACAGGTAGTTGTCCACCTGTTAGTGCTGCCATCTTGGGCAAGTATTCGTACACGCTGTCAGCCATTGCACCGAGGGTGAAAACGGATCCTTGGTTAAAGATCTGGCTCTTTGCATCCACAATCAGAGGCCACTGTCCAGGGAGCATGGTTGAATCTTGCTGTGCCGCCAGGAGATCCATGATAGTCTGTGAGGCGTCAAACCATTTGGCATCTCCCGTGAGTTGCGAGAGGCGTGTAAGCTCGATACACAAGCTTCCAATCTCTGCAACGAGGACACCAGCGCCAGCAATCTGATTTTTACCCTCCCCGGCAGCGTGAAAATTCCAACGCAAGACAGGCATGTGGTTGGGTGTGTCAAAAGCCTTGTAAATCACTTCACCAACCTGGACTGCCTTGCGAAGCAAACGCATATCCTCGCTAAGCTCAAAGGCGGCGAGAAAGCCACCGAGGTAACGGATAGTAGTCTCAAATATATTGACTTCTTTGAGATCCGTGGCTGTGAAGTCAATCTTGTCGACTGCATCCACGGCTTCGTAGAATTCTTGGCGCATATCCATGATCCAAAGGGTATCAAGGGAGTCAACGAGAGTAGCGGCCCAGCCGCCGAATGGATTTGCCTGGCCAGCCGAGACGGGACTGAGCTCGTCTGCCATCCAGGCATGCTTTCTGTAAGAATTCCAACATCTTGTGAAGGTCGCCTTGACAGCCTGTTGACGCTCGCGTCGCAGTTCAGCAGTACTAATGGAGAATTCAGGGAACGTGGCTTGGACCTTGGGATAGGTGACAGGAGGAGAAGTGGGCAGTGGTTGGAAGGCAGAGTGAGGATAGTTGACTTTGACGGTGTTCCAGTAATAGTTGTCATCCTGGTCTTGCCTCCACAGCGAAGTCTTTACGGGCCAGCCGTGCTTCTGGTTGTGGTTGTAAGGGCCGTGTCCATATCGGGGTCCAACGTATTCAGGGGTCCTACCAGCCCAATAGCAGAAGAGGATCACTGTCAACAGGCCGCAAACTAAAACGAGACCTCGACTGCGGAGGAGCATGGTAAAGAAATATGGGCCCGTGCCGCGTTGAGCGTCGAAAGGAATAGAGAAGAGGGTTTCGAGATGTTGCAAACAGAGTTGTCTCTCTCCTCTTTCTTTGGTGAGGTAAGGGAGAGGTAGAGATACCTAAGGTAAACTAATCTTATCCGAGGGTCTTTGTCTTACCTTATCTTTGATTTGGCGCGCTGAGGTTGGTAATAAAACAGCTTGGCATTTGTACCATGTAATTTGCCCCGCCAAGCAATGGCGGTATGTATCTTATACCTTGGTTCAGGTAGAGGGTACATTGCTTTAGCTCGGCGAAATTCGACCAAATGTGAGCGACACTACCAACAGGACCAACACACAGTTAATGCGTATTTGAACACTGTACACGTCTGCGCTGAACACGTTTCTTAATACAGTGTCGATTGCGTAGGCGCCCGATAAATATCATCCACAAAATCAACTGAGAATGAAACAGGTTCAGCAAACTATATGATACTCTTATTGAAATTCTCTCCACTACAAGACTGTGAAATACTTTTCTGAGGAGTGGGTTCTGTTGCTCTACTTCTGCTGTGGCTAAAATGCGACTCTGCTGTTCCTGGCAGGATCTTTTGTCGTTTTTTTCTTCACATTTTTTCAAAGTAAGACATGTCAAATTCTTTCTTCATCCGGTAGTTACTATTTCCTCTTACGACCTTTTTTCGATGGAACTAGACGCATGTGTTCATCCTCGGCAGTGAGATCACGGAGCTTAACAGCCCTTGTCCAGGTAGCACAATCCTTCGATCTGCATGACGCCCATCGGGGCAAACAAAGAAGAGCTTAACAGGGGGGGTGGCTACGTGAGCCGCAGTATAAAGACTGACCTGGTGGAGGAACTTGTGAACCCTTGGCCATCTGACTTCCAGACCCCAAGGGTTAAGAAATAGATTGCAGAATCTTTTCCATGAATTCCACGCATTCTAGGCCTGACTTCGAGGCCTGACTTCGAGGCCTGAGCTTCATGATAATAGTCCTAACTTGTCATTAACATATGAAAGGGTGACAAAGAAACTTCAGGCTAGTTGCACTGCATTGTAAGTATATATCCTTCCATTCTCTTTCACCCTATAACTGGGCTCTTGTAATGCTTGACAATGCAAAGCTGGAGATAGTTCATGTCATGTGACATGACTAAGTACACCAGCGCAAGAATGAATAACAGTGTCTGAAATGGCCTTAAGTTGCTGATTCCGTCATGCCATCTTAAGCTACCTACATATGCCGGACTCGACTCAGTATAAACCCCAGCCGTAGAGCAGTCCATTCTATGTGCAGTCACTTCTTGATGACTCAGAGGTTGTTCAAAGCTGCTATGCCTCTTTGTCTATCATGCAGGCAGATGTTCTTTCAGCACTTGATTCTTTCAGTACTTGATTCTTTCAGTGCTTGATTTGAGATAAGCAAATGTCGATAGAATATTGCTTACGCGTTTCTACAATAACTAGAGTGTATGACGATTCCTAGCTACCAATCTTTATCTGCTTGATTAATTTGTGAGAACATGGGTTAAGCTGTTCAGCCAGATGTGACTACAAGTACACTCTAGTCAAAAGTAAGAATACAGTATAGCGGTAAACTGGTTAATGCGTAGGTGCTTTTGATCCCAAGCCTGCCGCTTGGACCCTATTCGAGGGACACGCTTGCTGGCGGATCCTTGTTTAACATCCTCCATCTCGCTATTTTAGGTAAGGTATACTTGTTTGGACGGACAAGCTACAGCATGGACCTGCCCTTATGAGCTACTATTGTTCCCTTGGGACAAGTCATAGGTGGTGTATGAAACGTCTCGCCATCTAGAAACATAGAGATAAAACAGGAAATGTGCTCAAAAAGAAACAAATTTGGGACCAAAGACCCCAGGGCTATGACAGTTCTCAATGATTACCACGGTATGATAGAGGTTGCAGAATAATTCTCGTGAGCAATGAGAAAGGAGTCACTCGCCTGATCCTACATATTCCGAAAGTTGCCGTAACCATAATCTACCATTTGGCAGTCAGTCGGTGATCAGTGAGAACTTGGAAGAATTTGACGGCACATATTGTCCAGCTAGTAAGAAGGAGCGACGTTACAGGCGCCATAACAAAGAAAAGCAACGAGATCACTTGGTACTGGTTATGATAACTGTATGAGAGCAGGATTGACTGGCATCAGTGGTGATTTATTCCCTACCTGGCGACTTGACGGGACTAGGGTTGGAACTATGGAACTCACATCAACATGGCCGTAGGGGGTAACAAAGGGCGTTCAATGGTAAGACACTCAGCCATACCTTGGTGGGCGCCGAGGTGCTTACTATCACATGATCAAATTGGCCTTGCAGTACAATGACAGTCAAAAGAGTATCTGACGTTAAACGAATTTAAATAATGCTCGAGGCATTTTAATTTCATTTTGATTCCAATTCCTATCCGATCTCTATGCATAAAAACAGATCCCAAACGCCCACAATTAACACAGGGAGTCCACCATCAAGGCGACTCCATGCTCAGAACTTCCAATAGCACTGTGATGCAATGATGCGTCCATCGTAATTTCATGACCATTCCGTTTCGTTCGTCTCTGCGTGGAGAAGCACTTTCATACCACGAGCAGAGGGGCAGGCGGACACCCCAACTCCGTGCTTCAAATACAGAGAACCAGATACTAGTGAAAGGTCATACCTACCGTGGTCCAGTGGGTACTGGTGCTTATCGGATGGTCATCTGCTTGGCCATGGACGCCTTGCTCGACGCGCCAGAGGCACCAATGCCAGCGGTGGCACCAGCCTTCTTCTCAAAGATCTTCCAGAACTTGAGACTCTCGTCAGCAGCTAGTGGGTTGTTAGTATACTGCTAGTTAAAGTATGAACGTCTGAACTTACCAGCTGTTGCAAGCATCTGGCCGTCAGGGCTCAGGCAGCTGTGGAGGACTCGGCTCTCGTGGGCGGGGATCTCAACGGTACGGACAAGGGTGGGGTAGCTCCAGATGCTGAGAGAGTTGTCAGGGAAACCGCTTGAGCTGACGATCTCGCGGTGGTGGGGGCTCCAGCGAAGAGAAGTGACCTGAGAGCCAGTGTCGATGCTGTTGACGCGAGCACCCGAGGTGGAGTTCCAGAAGTGGATGTGACGGTCGTAAGAGCCGCCACCAGTAGCGAGGAGGTTCATGTTCCAAGGGCACCAAGAGAGGGCCTTGACAGCAGCCTTGTGGTTGGTCTTGGTGAACTTAGGAACAGACAGAGATCGGGCATCCCAGATGGAGACGAGGTTGTCGTTGCCGCCAGTAGCGAGCTGAGCTCCATCGGAGCGCCACTCAAGGCCGCAAACCTCGGATGTATGGGAGACGAGCTCAGCAACCTTGTGCTCGGCAATGCGAACGTCGTGGTTGTAGACAAGACCGCTACGAGCACCGGTAGAGAGAAGGTGCTTGTTCCACCCCATCACACCGACACGTGTATCATGGCCGAACATGCTTCGAATCTTCTGGCCCTCCGCAACGTCCCAGATCTGGACCTCGCCAGTTCCCATACCAACACTGACATAGGCGCCATCGCCAGACCACTTGACGCTGCTGACATATGTATCAGGAGTGGTCTCAAGGAGACAGCTAACACTACCTTCATCGGCAGACCAGACGTAGACATTGCGCTCAAGACCGATAGCGACCTGGTTACCAGAGCTCCAGTCGAGGAGGTTCAGGTAGTAGTCGTCCACGAGGCCAGGAGCATCAAGTACACGCTCAGGGGCAGTAGCAATGCGGCGGCGGAGTTGAGCGGAGCTGGAAGTCGCAGACTTGAGGGGGCGGTTGTACTGTTGTCGCAGGTCAATTGGCTTGGAAGACTCGGGGGCAGCAGGCTTGAACTCGAGGATGCGAGTGTTTAGGCTAACACCACAAGCATTGGCAAGGGAATCTTGGTAAGCCACAGTGTTAGGGGAGGGTCGAGAGTAGTTGTCAGGCTCATCATCGTTGATGTTGAGGCTCTCGAGAGCAGCCATGGCTTCGTCAGCAGCAGCAGAGAGAACAGTAGAGCTCTCGGAGCTGCTGCTCTTGGGGCGTTGCCTATCGGAGAGATCAAGCTTGCCAGAGCCAGCGTTGGAAATGGCAGAGCTTGCGCCACGGTTGGGGATAAATCGGTCGCCACCATAGTTCAGAGTAGTCTTAGCAGTCTTGGAGCGGAGGCTCTTCTTGGACTTTGTGCTTGAAGGGGTCTTGGTGGTGTTGCCAGTACCAGTGAGGGTAAAATCAGAGACGCCAAGCTCAAGAGCCTTCCGGGGAGTCTGAACACCACGGGCGATGTTGGACTTGGGGGAGTCACGGTGAGAGGACTTTGTAGTAGATCGAGCAAGGTGAGACATGAGGTTACCGCCATATGTAGAGCGCCCGGATGGCCTAAACTCGTTGCTAGACTGTCTTTCGGGGGTAAATGGGGAAGAGTTCAGGTTGACGGGGACGTTCGTGGTGGATGACTGTTGGCGGGGAGAGGGAGTCAAAGGCATGCGCCCGCCAGCGGTACGGGCTGAGAACAGTCCCTTGTGGGACTTGACAGGCGTCGACAATGCTACAGAAGCCATTATGAATTTTGCGATATGATGACCTGTGTATCAAACAAGGTATAGATAGGTGAAGAGCGTGTAAGTGGGACTCTGGACGAGTGACCCAAAGCTGGATGGTATATCGAGCCTTGATGCTATCGAACGAGGTCCAACGAGGGGCTCCTGGTAATTAGTATACCTGTACTGAGATCAATGATCGATAAAAATCGAGGCTGTCTTCACAAAGATATAACGAAGTTGGGGGGCGATCAAATGGCCTTGGCGATAGGATCTAGCAAGCTTTGATATTTCTTGTAAGAAGCGTTGGATGAGAGGTTTGCAGTAGAGCACAAGGCTATAGCGAGGAATTAAAGTGATTGAGAAGGGGAGCGAGTTGTAGATGGTGATCATGAGGAGAGAATCATTCACAAGCTGAAGCTCATGACGGTTACCTTTTATTTACTTATGCCCCTCCGAGCTTCTGGCCGGGCAACCACTAGACATGTAGTCGGACCTGAGTTGCTCCCGTTCCGCGACCTGCCAACGTAGACGAGCCAATTAGATTACGAGAACACAACGCCTCATCAGCCTTATTCTTGCCTGGCGCGATGGCCAAATTTCTCT